GCCGTGAGCTCGCCCAGGATCGGCTGGGTGGCTGGTTCCTCCTTTGCTGGGGCTGGGTCTGCAACAGTGACAGCTCAATGCAGGACACACTGGGGACAGACATCTCTCCGTCCGTCCGTCCATCCATCCATCCACCACCCACCCATCCATCTATCCGTCTATCTGCCTGTCCCTCCATCCAGCTAATCACCCACCCATCAGTCGACTCACCCAACCATTCACCTTTCCACCCATTTCCCATTCCTCCAGCTGTTCATGCACCTATCCACTCATATATCCAATTATCCCTTTGTCCGGAATAAACTTCCGGAAACTCAGGAAGCCAGCCTGCCAGAAACCTGTCCTTCCATCCATCTAACCATCCATCTATCCATCCATGTGTCTTCCCACCCATCCATGCTTCCTTCCATCCAGTCACCCATCACCTCTCCATGACCCTTCTCCCTCACATCAGTCCATGGATCCATGAAGCCAACTATCCATGCAACCATCCATCCATTCATTCATTAAACAGTCCGATTATTCATCCAACCACCCATGCTTCCACCTGTCCATGCTTCCAGCCATTCGTCCATCCAGCCATCAATCAGTCCACCCAACCATTTTTCCAGCCACCCATCCATCATCCACCCATTCAATCCCAACCATCCATCTACCCATCACCATCCATCCATCATCCATCCACCCATCCAATCTCAACCATCCACCCACCCACCAGCCAATCATCCACCCACACACTCATCCAATCATCCACCCTTTCATACAAACATCCCTCCATCCCTCTGACCTCGCATGCCCCCACGCCCACCACCAAATCAAGGGCCAGATGCTCTTCCCATATCTCTCAGGGTCAAATGACCTGCCAAGGCTCCTGACTTGCTCCAAACCCAGCGCCCGCAGAGGACACAGACAGGGCTGAGAGATGCCCTCACCTGTGACGGCATCAGTAGAGATAAGACCAATCCGTTTCCGACCCCACACCCCGTAGAGGTTGAACTTGTAGCGGCGGGCCGCGGTCACCGTGCGGGCCCCGCCGTCAACTGCAAGTGCCTGAGGTTGGCCTTGTGCATCCCTGTACTGCACCGTGAAGGAGTCAAAGGTGCCCTCGAGGACGCTCCACTCCAGCTGGATGGAGCTGGGGGTGACATGGGAGACCGTGAGCCCGCCCAGGTGGGGCCGGGGTGGTGGTTCCTCTGACGGTGGGGCCGGCACTGCAATGGACATGGCACACAGCAGAACATGAAGATACACCCACCCACGCATCCTTCTGCTATCTGTCCAGCCACCTACCTGTCTAATCATGCACCCATCAGTCCAAGCACCCAACCATCCACCCATCCTCCCATTGATCCAATTGGGTGTCCACCCATCCATCCAATCGTCCATTCATTCTGTTCTTTGTCCGTTGCTCCATCCATCAGTCCAGTTATCTGTCTGTCCACTCATTTCTCCATTCAAGAATCCAGGCTTCCATCCATTCAATGACCTGTTTTTCCATTTACTTTTCCTTACATCAGCCTTCGAATCCACCTATCCACCCTCCCACCCATCCGTCCAACCTTCCATCCGTCCTTCCACCCATCCATCCACCACCCATCCACACACCTATCTATCTAACCTTCCATCCATCAAACCATTGTCCATCCATCCTCCATCCATCCATCCATCCATCCACACATCCATTCAACCGTCCATCTTTCCACCCATCCAACTATCCATCCATCCACCCACCTAGCTATCCAACCATGAGCCACCCATCCTTCCACTCATCCACCCACCCATCCATCCAACCACCATCCAACCATCCACCCATCCAACCACCCATCCATCCAT